AAAAAAAAGCCTAAAGGACTCCCCTCTAATGATAGTGAGTACCTAGTCTGTAAGTTTAAGAAGTCTATATATGGTCTGAAATAAGCATCCCGTCAATGGTATTTAAAATTCCATGGAGTAATTTCTTCATTTGAATTTATTGAAAATCCCAAAGATCAATGTATATACCAGAAGGTTAGTGAGAGTAAGATTTATTTTCTTGTTTTATACGTAGATGATATTTTACTTGCAACCAATGATAAGGGTTTATTGCATGAAGTGAAACAGTTCCTCTCTAAACATTTAAATATGAATGATATGGATGAGGCATCTTATGTCATTGGCATTAAAATTCATAGAGACGGATTACGAGGTATTTTGGATTTGTCTCAAGAAACTTATATCAACAAAGTTTTAGAGAGATTTTGGATGAAGAATTGTTCACAAAGTGTAGCTCTCATTGTGAAGGATGATAAGTTCAATTTGAGTCAATGCTTGAAAAATGATCTAGAAAGGGAACACATGAAGAACATTCCATATGCTTCTGCTGTCAGAAGCCTGATGTATGCTCAAATCTGCACAAGACCCGACATTGCATTTGCTATAGGAATGTTATGACGATATCAAAGTAATTCAGGTACAGACCACTGGAGAGCAGTAAAGAAAGTAATGCGGTCCCTTCAAGGAACCAAAAATTACATGCTTATGTATAAATGGACGGATAATCTGGAAGTGATCGGATACTCAGATTCAGACTTTGCTGGCTATGTTGATTCACGAAAATCAATATCAGGGTATATTTTTAGGATTTTGTTAAGTGTGCATAATAAATGTACATAAAGGATGACATAATATGATGTGAAAGGAAAAGATTGGTTAAAAAAATTGATTGTATTTTAAACATGCAAATGATAGAGTGTCACGTGATATTATGGCACCCCTATATATATGCTTATGTACCTGTAGCACTACTCATATTTTTATGATGACTGATGGAGCTATATCATAGAGGAGTGCCAAGCAAACCTTAATTGCTACTTCTACCATGGAAGCCGAGTTCGCTTCTTATTTTGAGGATACTTCGCATGGTGTATGGATCAAGAGTTTTATATCTAGACTCAGAATTATGGATTCCATTTTTAGGTCATTGAGAATTTATTGCAACAATTCGGCTGCTATCATTATGGCTAAGAACAATAAAAGTTGTGGTTGAAGTAAACTTGTCAACATTAAGTATTTAGTCATAAGGGAACGTATTAAAGAAAAGAAAGCGATCATTGAGCACATATGCACTGAATTGATGATTGCCGATCATTTGACTAAATGCATGACCGTTGAAATTCAATGATCATGTAGAGAAAATGGGTACTTGGTTCAATTATGTAATAGTATATACACATTTTTGTATGAAACTCTTATTTGTTGCGATATTTTCTCATATTCATGCGCACTTTTATTTATTTGAGAGAATATATCTTTGTAGGAGCAAGAATAAGACATATGGTCTTTTCATTAAGTATTATTACCATCTACGAAAAAAATTCTTGAGGAACTAAATGTATCGTAATACATAGAAGATGATACTCGTTATTAGAGGATTCATCGTTACGATTCATGTGTTTGTTTCTTAAGAAGGACAATCGATCGAATTCGGTTGAGACATTGGATTGAATGTGTGGATCAAGTGGAAGAATGTAACGGATCCGTCTCTTCGCTTTCTTCATAGACAATTGATGGCCTAACATTCTTTTTCAATTTCAACATTTATAAAACTTCAATTTAGTATTCATTAGGCCATTGATTGAAAGGTAATAAAAGCCATAACTTGATAAGAGTTGGCTATGAAAAGGGGTTTGATCCCTAAGTCCAATTTGCCTCTGCATAATTACTTATGATCGATTTTCGGTCTAACAGCAATTTCCACTTCTAAAACCAGTCATGACAAAAAACCAGAAAGAATCTCAAAGCAAAACAAATAAAAGGGAAATATAGTAGGCCCGAGGAGCAACCAACTCGGCCCGGGTTACTGGTGGATCCACTTCAGATTCCAGCCAAATACAGAGCCGCAGCGCACTTCTCATTTCAGATTCCAGAGAGAGAGAGATGGGGGTGCTGGAGAGTGCGGCAGCGCCATATATGGGCATGGTACTAGCAACAACTGCTCAAGTAGGCCTAATATTAATCAGTAAACAAGCAATGGCGAATGGGATGACAAACTACATATTTGTTGCCTATTCCAATTTACTTGCCTCCGTTATCCTCCTCCCTTTGGCTCTTCTCATCCACCGGTATCATTTTCAAATTGAAATTGAGCTCAGATAAATCTTGGGATTTTTTAATTTCTAATTTGCTTTATAAGTATATATATGCAGGTCGAACAGGCCTCCACTCACTTTCTCACTCATTTGTGGGTTTTTCTCTCTAGGTGTACTTGGGTATGTTCTTTGATTCCATTATATATAAAGTATAAATTGTCCGAAGAAAACGAATTCTGAAAAAAAGGGTTAACTTGGGATTTAAAATTACAAAAGGAAGGTTTTATTCTGAAGATCTTGTTTCAGGGTTTTGAATCGTAGAGAAACATCTTATTTGGTTTTTCATTTTTCAATTTAATTTATAGGTGCTTGGCGCAGCTGACGGGCTATACTGGAATCAATTACACCAATGCAGAATTTGCATCGGCAATGCTTAATCTCATTCCAGGATTTACTTTTATACTTGCCCTCATTTTCGGGTTCTTATTCTCCTCTCACTTTTTGGCTTGTATGGAATTTGGTTGAATTTGCTAATTAGCTTGATTTGAGACTCTTTTATCTGATCATATATCTACATTCTTTTTGGCTTATGGTCTTTATTTATGTTTGTGTATATATACGTGAATTATCATGATTGTTGATAGATAACGACGGTGTTTGGATTCTGATAACAAGAAAATGAAGATCAAATTGTCGAACTTGATTTTTCTTTGTGTTTTTAAGGCATTAAAACATCATCTGGAGTTATTTGGTGTTGTATATTTTATGGTTAAGTACTTAAGTCTTAATATCTATTTACGAGAGCAATAAAAGGAACAGATAACAATTGAGAAGAAGATTAAAATGATGTTTCACACCTCTACTATGCATCTCACACTAAAAATAGCTTCCTAGAAAGTCCTTTATGCTTGTACGATTCCTATGATGACCTAATACATTTATGTAATGCCTAATACCTGAAATCAAAATACACCTAAAAGAAAAGTAAATTACAGTTAGGCTCCACTCAATCCAACAACATATTCAAGTATTCAATTTTGGAGGTGAAATTGGCACTTCACTATGTATTGTGAGCAGATATTTGCTATGCTAGATGACTTAATCTCTGACTCTATTTTTCAAGTTGTATTTCACTAAGAGAAACAAAATTACTAAAAAAAATATAACAAATTGATTAATCTGCAAATGATGGTTCTCAGGATGGAAAAGCTAGCTTGTAGAAGAGCAAGTTTTCAGGCAAAAACTATTGGAACTGTAGTTTCAATTGTTGGAGCCTTCATTGTAACTCTCTACAAAGGCCCCCAAATTCTGACTTCCCAATCAGCTTCTAGATTGCTCGATAATTTTATTCGAACACCACAATCAAGTTGGATTCTTGGAGGATTATTCCTTGCAGTAGACTGTGCAGTGTCTTCAGGCTATATAATTGTACAGGTACAACAACTCATAAAGAACAAAACAATGGAAGAGTAAGAAACCAAGAAAGAAAGAAAAAGAAGTTTTTTACTGCATGTTTGTTATTCAATATTAGACATTATTGGGCAATACAACAGACAAGATTTAGTTTTTTCTTAAACGTTGACATTGTCCAGTGTTATGTAATCCATTGAACCAAACACGTCATTATGGAACATGGAAGCCAATTTCAACTTTATTGATTTGTCTCAGATTGGTAACTTTAATTGTAACTATTTCCTTTACAGGCTTTGATTCTTAAGAAATACCCAGCAGAGCTGATTATAGTCTTCTTTTACTGCTTATTTGCCGCCATTTTATCTACAGTGGTCTCTCTGATTGTTGATAGAGACCTTAGTGCTTGGAGTCTGCAACCCAATATCAGATTGATTGCAGTTCTTTACTCGGTAGGTGCATAGACCATCTGTTTTTCATTTTATGAAAGATAACTAAAACTTAATATGTTGGTTTTTCATCGTATGAAAGATAACTAAAGCTTAATATCTTGCAATTTCACAGAACCCATCTAACTGTGTTCAATGAGTTACTTGAATTTGTTCTCTGTCTCTTTCTTGCCTCAGTCATTTGAGAACCATTAGTTTCTAAGTGGTTAAAAAGACTTCATTTTCTTGTACCTTTGAAAGAGATTGCTTTAGCAAATGGAAGGATGAAAAGGGACTTAACTAGCTGAATACGGCTCACCATCTCTTATGTTGGACTTGTGTTTTCTTACAAACTTAGTGCTTGTTTGGTAGGGATTTTGTTAATTGATTTTTTGACGTTTAGAGATAAAGTGGATCCTACTTGTGAGAGAAGAATTCAAAAATGACGGTCAGAATAATGAAATAACAGTAAAAAAATTGGTGTTAATTGGATTAAGATCTCTACCAAACATGCTCTTAATATTGATATGCTACAATATGTGGTGTCAATAGAGCTTTCTATCTGGC